GTATTTTAAAGCATTTTTCTGTGTATAGAGCTGAGAAATTCTCCTTAAAACAGTGATTTTTATCACCCACACTACTCCTAAGCAGCGTATTATGGTTTATATATACATATTTTTTGATAGGATGCTATTGCTAGAAAACGTTATCTACAGTAAACATTAAAAAAATACAGTTTATAGCGAGGAAAGATCTAACTTTTTGGGTGGCCATTTTTGTATGGATATTTGTTTAAATTAGTTCAAGAGGTTGCATAGATTTGATATAACATTTTTAAGAGTGAGTAAATTTAAAGTGGAAAGCTCTTGTATCAGTAGAAATGATGCACAAGAACTCGATTTTTATTGGATACAAACATTTGATACTTCTTAACTTACGTCATATATTTTGCTGTCAAAGCTTTATTGTTATTTTACAAGTTTTATTAATAAATTATTTTGTTAGATCAAAAATATACTTATACTACTTTTTTTACTCTAGCAACAAAGTGATATTTTAAAACAATCTAAATTGTTTGTTATTTATGACAACCATTTTTTGAGTTTTTGGAATCTAGAGATGTGCAATTTTAGTGTGAGTATTTTTTCATCATTTAAACAGATAACATTTATTTTATTCAAGCGGTTTTAAAGTTTTTTTTATTTTATTCAAAGCTGTTAAACTACATTTTTAGTTTGAATTTTATTATGATACAACCTAACCTAACCACTCAGATGCAAACAAAACGCAACAGAAAACCTTTGGGTCAAGTTTAATATGTTATATATTTTTTTTTATTTTTAGCCATATTTTCATGATTTTTTTAGCAAACTCTATATAAATATATCAACTTTAATTCGTAAAGTCAATTTATTACAAACTTTAGTATTTGATTTATTATACAGGGTTAATCGAAGAGTTGTGTTTTACCCTTTCTTTAAAACACCCTGTGCAACAATTTCGTGAGCAACTTTTCCTAACATTGTTTTTCGGTCAGAACCATGTTTCTTGAATATTTTGTTTTTTGACTCACGTTAACACATGCCTTGGTTAATTTTTAAGAGCAAAATGAACTTGCCACTAACATTTTTAAATTTTTTCAATTATTGTTAATTTTTGATGTTTTCCTTCATAATGACAAGGTGGCTTTGGTGAATATTGTTGCATACCATTGAATATGGTTCTTAGTGTCGAAGATTGTGCAAACGTCATTGATATTGTTAAAGATGGCCGAAATTATGAATATTCGCTTGGTCCTTAAAGAAGAATGGGAAAGCATAACACAATATATTTGCAGCCTCATCAAGAGTATGAATCGACATCTATAGTTATCGCAGCCGGGTGAGACAATACAAAGTATCAGAGTATATTTTACAAGTTTTTTGATTGTTTGTATACTTATTTATTGAGGTTTTAATATTGTTAGTTCGTTACGATTATTGTATTGTTCCCAGTAATAGTTCTGTCAGTGTTACTAATATTTATTAAAACCAAACCTGTATCATTACTTTTTAACGTTTTTTAAATTCTAATATGGAGTTCTAAGCAGTGCTGATATGACATTACATAATAGTCACCAAATCCACCTCGTGAAATTCAAAAATAACATAATAAAATAATAATAGTTAAAAAAATTGCAAATTGTTGGTGGTAAGTGCATTTCGCTCTTAAAAATTATTTTTTTTATTATTTATGTTATTGTGTTGACATGAGTAAAAAACAAAATGCTCAGAAGACATAGTTCTGATCGAAAAATAATGTTTTGGGAAAAGTTACTTACAAAATTCTTGCACAGGGTGTTTTAAAGTTAAGGTAAAAATAACTCCTCAATTAACCCTGTATAATAAGCCAAATATTGAAGATTATAAAAAACTGAGTTTATGAATTAAACTTGATACATTTATACTAAGGGCTGGCAAAGGTTAGTCTTGGGTCGAGATTTCCGTATGTAAGAAGAGTACAATGCCTTTATAATGTACTGAACAAAGAGAGGACAGTAAACACGTTGCCAAACGTATGAAATAAACCGAGAAACTGTGCACATCGCTGAGAGACATGGAAGGGGATATAGCAGATTTGTTGCAGTTGACCGGTCGACCCAATCAATACCTCTGTCAGTACTTAAAGTTCTAGGGAGAGGTGTACGTCATGCGTTCAGCTTCACGATTTAATTACGTTTCGTGATACTTGATTTGTATATTTGTTAACGAATCGTTGTAATTTTCCCTATAGCTTAAATTTTTTTAAGTGCAAGCTAGAAACACTTGCATTTTTGGTAAAAATAAGGGGAATTGAGTGGGTGTTCGATAGTGGTCGCGCTATTAGAACTCTGAATTCAAAAATCGATATCTCGAAATCTATTAGAAATAATAGATTGTAGTTTTTTCAAGACCTTTGTTAATATTTCTACTATTCTTTGTAGACAGTATGTGAAAATCTTTATCAATAAAAAAATTACGCGATTGCTAAAAATTGCTATGCTCTAAAAGTAAATGGATGGATTGTTTACAATTTTCAAATGGAAAAAACAACCTTATCGAATTTTTCTTATGTAAACATATTGTAAAATATCTGATCTTGAAATAAAAAAAGTTTCAATATCTAAAGTGGTTCTTGAGTTATGGCTTGTTATGTGTTAAAAAGTTGAATTTTTAAATTATCGCGATTACTGACGTTTTCTCGTTATAAAAAAATGACACCTTAACGATATCCTTATAATTCCATTTCAGATGCTCAGAAACATGTCTAATGATTTTATCTAGTTATCTCTTGAAAAAAAAAGTCTTTTAAAAATAAGCGGGTTGTGATCGTGATTTTACTTTACTTGGTAGGGAAAGGCGTATCGGCAACGCCGCAATAGCACACCGTCGCGCGTCGCGTCGGTCGGGCGCATTTCTCTCACTCCGACTTAATAAGATCCCTATGCGATTTACTTCCACACATGTAAACGCCGACCCAAAAGTAACAGTTGCCAGCACGGTATATGTCGTAGTCTCATAGTGTATTCCGTCTTTTCATGAAGAGCCTAGTCACTTAATGAAAAAAACTAACCTAATAACATAACTAAACTGCTAACCTAACCGACGCTTCATGAAGTGACCTAGGATCTTCATGAAAAGACGGAATACACTCTGTGACTACGATATATATACAGTGTGTTAAAAAAATCACGAAAATAGAACTAAAAGTAAAAAAATATAACTCTTTAAACTTGACGAAAAAATGTTCTGTTGCGTTTTTTTGCATCTAAGTGTATTAACCATTGAAAATCATGACTGTCTTTAAGTTACACGTTTAAATGAGAATAAATATTTAAATAAAATGTATTTAATGTATATCAACAATCGTATGTATATAAATGTATATCAAATCTATACTTTCTTTGCACTACAAAAGGGTAACGATGTTGCGCATAAAACATCATAAAAATATAGCAGCTCCTGTAACCGTATGCTTCGTATTCTATCGTGTCCAAGAAATAAACAAATCTCAACCTCATCTCTTTGTCTCATAGTCCACCCATGTTTCCATTACCTGAGAAACTTTTGACAAGTTCGGAAAAACTATGTGTCGGGTCTTCGCTCGAGTCGTCATCGTCATCATCATCATCATCGTCATTGTCATCGTTTGAATCGTTATCATCCCCATCACTGTCATTACCTGTCGAAAATGATACAGCACATGCAGCCTGAGATCACGTAGATATACCGGACTGCTCAATTTTGTGTGTGTTTTATTGTATAGTGAGGTAGATTTGTTTTTGGGTTTATAACTGAGCAATCCTTTTTATAATTTCGCTTAAACTAGTATCTAAAGTTAATTTGTGTCATGCATAAGATACGCACCTCGCATTTTAAGCGTTCTGGCCAATAAAAAGAAATATTTTAAAAGTTTTCAAGAATATCTGTTTTAAGAGGAAAAGAAATCTTGTTTTCTTTGATGTTTCAATTCATTTTATACATCTGTTACTTTTAGAAATGAATAATTAAAAAAATAAGATTTCTTTTGGGCTAAACGAAACAGTATGTTAATGAAATGAACTTATTGAAAGTTTTAATGAAAAATTAAGTAGTATAAGTCTTACTTTTCTGCTCTATAAGCCAATCCAATACTTTTTCTTCATTTTTAAGATCCCCTATAACATAAGATTGTACATTTTAAAATAGCAAATTTACTCTGAACATTATATACACTAAAAGTTTACGAAATGGAGTAAACTATGATAAGTATGTAGCCAAATATTAATATTATGGAAATAATAGGTAGTATATTGTTTTAGTGGGAGTAAAAATGATGCTTTTTGTGGCGAGGCTGTACGTTTGACATACAGACGAGGCACAAAAAATCATTTTTACTCCGAATAGAACATGCCATTTTTTTTCAAACGCCACAAATAATTTTTTAAACAATTTCAAATGTTCCAAATAATATAAAAATATTTAAAAGTAATACCGTGTAAGTAATTATATGTATATCGAGAAACTGTGGTTACACTTGTTGAATTTGACACTTTGTCAGTTTAATAATATTACATTTTCGTACTTTTGTGCTTAGGCCTTAAGCTTGATTTTCATGCATCCGTTATCCGACGATACGATGGTACGATATTAATTTTATTGGTTGATTTTAAAGACTTCGATTGGTGAACCGTTTCTAACCAATCAAAGTCTTTCAATTCAACCAATAAAATGAATATCGTATCATCGTATCGTCGGACAACGGATGCATGAAAATCAAGCTTTAAAGTGCTTTAGTTTTATGACTAGACGTTAAAATTACTTTTTTATGTTGTCAACTAAGGTTGTCAATCACGTCGCAAAAATTAATATTTTTGTATGGTTTGAAAAAAAAAAAGTTATTCCATTTCGTAACTAAAAACTGTAACTATGAAAAGGTAACTAAAATAACTCTAAGAAAAGGTAACTAAACTCACATTGTATGCTACTAGAATACAAGGGTATGAATATGTACTTACAATAATTGTCTTCTTAAATTTAATATATTTTAAACCATGTTTAGCTCTTACCATCGTACATGATTGGAACTCCCGTTTCATAGTATACTAGAGCGGGAAAACTGAATATTCCTATTTCCGAAGCCAACCTGGCATCTCTAGATTTGACGAATTGTATTCCTGTTTTAAACAAAATAAGAAAACTTTAGAAATAATATAGCAATAAAATTACTTTGGCATTATTATATTGGGCAATGTGAATAAACATTTAGTAAAAACTAAAACTTACATTTTCCTAGCAAATGCTTAGTTTGCAGTGAATAAAAATAAGTATTATCTTTTACTAAAAATGGAATTAGCAAAAGCTAAAGTTTTTAGCATTATCTAAAAATGGTGCGAATAAAAGTAAGCAATTACTAAGAATATTAAGGAAAAGCTTACATTTTTGCAAGGTTGTTAAACCCTGGCTTAGAAATTTAGTATTGTTAAACAGTTTGGCAGAAATGGCTGCTTTTATGAATATAAGATCTAAGGAATCTATCATAAGGAAAAATTTTATTCTGAAAGAAAAGAAAGTCGTGCCGAAGAATACCACGGTTTGTATAGATTTAGTGAAGCAAATGTTGAATGGATAGCTAACCATTTTTTGGAGCCAAAAGTAGAAACTTGAGGTGGTGCATTGAGTCCAAAAAAACAAATGCAAGTATTTTTGCGATTTTTAAGTGATCCTAGATTTCAAATAGGGATCGGAAAAGAAGAAGGAGTTCATAAAACAACAATATGTAAAACGATGTCTCACGTTTTACCAAGAATAGTTGAAAAGGCAGGAATTTGGATTAAATTTCCTACAGAAAACACGACTGACCAGGCAATTAACGAATGGGCAGAGTTGTATAGATTTTCCTGTGCTTTTGGTGCAATTGATTGCACTCATGTACCAATAATAAAGCCATCTCTACATGGTGACGAGTATATTAATACAAAAGGCTGGTGTAGTATAAATGTCCAAAAAACTTGTAACGGAAAAGAAATGTTTACATTCGTAGATGCTCAATGGCCTGGCTCGGTGCACGACAGTCGTATTTGAAGAAGATCTAATATTTTTGGTATGATGCAAAGGACGTCAATAGAACTATGGACTTATTTTAGGCGATGAAGGGTACGGCATAACACCATGGCTATTAACACCGTATAGAAACCCCACCACACCTCAAGAAATAGCGTATAATAATTTACATAAAAGAGAGCGCGTTATTATAGAACGCTGTTTCGGACAACTAAAACGTCGATTCCCTGTTTCAAGTCATAAAAAGAACCATTCAAGTCATAAAAATATTAATATAAGTATAAAAACATGTTTTTTTAAATGATTTACCAAATAAGATTTTTAAGTAAATACTTAAAATATCTAGCTTTTACTAGTAAGTAGAAGCAAAAGGTTATTCACTTCAATTTCAGCAAATGCTATTAGCAAAAGCTAAATCTACCTAGTACAAGCTAAAGCTTTTACTTAATAGTAAAAGCAAAAGCTTAGTTTTTATTCACTCGGCTCATTAGATCGATACTAGTAAATAATAATCTATATATAGACTAGAAGAAATCTTCCGTCAACTGCTCTAACTAATTGCCAATAGTCCTGAAGAACTACAAGCACAAACTAATAAACTATATAAATAAAGTCAGCAATAAAGTGGGTCTCAAAATGAATTTAGGAAAAGTTATGTACAACGAACTAGTGGAAAGAAAAGACATTCTCAGTAATATTACAACACAACACTGGAAATAGTAGAAGAATATATAGATTTGGGACAACTAATACACAGCTCGGGATCTCTACTATTAGAAATCAACAGAAGAATTAAGTTAGCGCGGAGTACTTATGGAAGAAACTCAGTCATATTCAAATCTAGAATGCCACTCTATCTAAAGAAGAAAATATTCGACCAATGTGTACTACCAGTCTTGACCTATGCATGCGACACCTGGACACTTGAAATGGACATCACAAGGAAACTGCAGGTCACGCAACGCTCACTCGAACAAAATATACTGGCAATAACCAAGAGAGACCGTAAAAGAATAGAGTGGATACTACAAAAGAACCAAGAAATAGATGTCATCCACAGAGTCAAATCCCTCAAATGGCAATGGGCAGGACACCTGGAAAGAAAGAAAAATTACAGCATGTTACCCACGAGGAATTAAGAGACCTAGAAGAAGACCGAACCTGAGATGGGACCATGATATTAGGAAATCAGCAGGGATAGCTTGGGCCTACAAAATCAACAATAGACAACAATATGAGGGAGGCTAAAGTTCATGATTGAAAATGGTCGAATAAGCTGAAAATGATGATGATGATATATCTTTAAACATAAAATATGTAGCAAAATAAATTAAAATTTGTATTTAAATGTAAACAATCATATACGATCTTTAATAAACTTTCTTAATAAATAAGTAGCAACCTAGCATTTTTCTGGTTTATATCTGGTTTCTATATCTTTTGTTCCTTCGATTTGTTTGTACAGTAAAGTTAGACCATTTATTAGACTGAGGTTAAACATGCCCATGTATCTGTGAAACCTTTTATGAATAAGGCAAGAAATAAACTGTGATATGTGTCGTGGTATCCCTATAGCCATACTACTAATATCATTCAAAATATAAATAGAAAAACTTACCATGTCTATCAGTATCATCATCAATAGTTTCTAGTTCTTCCAACACTTCGTCGCATTCAGGACAATTATCAGCATAGAAGAGAACAGCTAGATGTTCGATGTCATTGATGAGTACCTTGAAATGGAAATAATATTATATTGATCGGTCTAAAATTCTGTTTTTGTACCTGTAAAGTTTTTCTGTCTACGTTTTCGATAACCTCAGGAGCGGATTCTTTTAAATTTAATACCCATTGTAGAATGGCGTCTTCGTTCATTATATCTCCGCTGTAGATGTCTCTAAATCGGTTTCTGGAATATCCAAGTTAAAGAAGTATTACTTTGTTTATTCATATAGAAAATATTGTATATAGCCTTCGTAGATTCCACAAAGACATTTGTTATGATATACCCCTGAGCAACAATTGAACAAGCTCTTAACCGACCAAGGTATTGACAGTATGTAAGCTCTAGTCAGTATAGAGGAAAGGTACAAAAATATATAGAACGGATCATTAGAATCCCGTGTAAGTAAAGGAGTCAGGTAAAGACTCCCAAGTTCTGCAAAGTTCATTATAGCAACTTTAAAGATCATCTTCAATACCAAATTGAACAACAAAGGTTTAAATATGCAATATTTTAATCGCTAATTACCGTAAATAGAGTTAACGTTCAGGACAATAAAGTTAATAATATCACTACATATAGCAGATAAAATAGCCAATAGTCCTGAAGAACTCTACAAGCACAAATTAATAAACTAAATACAGCTAGCAATAAAGTGGATCTCAAAATGAATTTAGCAAAAACTAAAGTAATGTAAAACGAACTAGTGGAAAGAAAAGACAGTCTAACAAATAACACAACACTGGAAATAGTAGAAGAATATATATATTTAGGACAACTATACTCAGGGACAAAATATACAGCTCGGGGTCTCTACTACTAGAAATCAACAGAAGAATTAAATTAGCATGGAGTACTTATGAAATAAACTCAATCATAATCAAATCTAGAATGCCACTCTATCTAAAACAGAAAACATTCCACCTATGTGTACTACCAGGGAGGAAATGGGCATTAATCTTAACGGGGAAATGCTCAATAACCTGCGTTTTGCTGATGACTTAGTGCTGATTACAGACAAAATACACGAAGCACAAAATATGCTAGAAACAGTTAAACGGGCGTCAGATCAAATAGGACTACGCATAAATTATTCAAAAACAAAACTAATGACCAATCTTGTTATTAGTGGAAATGTCTCGGTGGACGGAGCAAATATAGAACAAGTATATACATATAAATATCTGGTCTATAATAATTGGTCGCGATAACCAGACACACGAGATACAAAGAAGAATAGGACTAACATGAGCAGCATTCGGCAAACTAAGATATGTGTTAAAATCAGATCTACCAATATGCTTAAAGAGGAAGGTGTTCAATCAGTGCGTTATGCCAGTATGTACTTACATATAGTGCAGAGACACTTACACTGACGAAAAAGTCCATAGAAAAAATCCGTTACAACGAGCTATGGAAAGAGCAATGCTTGGTGTATCTCTAAGAGACAAGATACCCAATACAGTTATAAAAAAGCGTACACGAATAACAGATGCTATATATCTCTTAAAAAACTCAAACGGAACTGGGCTGGGCATATTGCCAGAAGAACGGACAATAGATGGACCAAGCTAATACTAGAATGGCGGCTAAGACAGGATGCTCTCAGAAAAAGAGGCAGACCTCCGACAAGATGGTCAGATGACTTAGGGGAAACTGGATTTAGGAGAAACTGGATCCAAGTGGCACAGGACCCAGAAGAGTGAAAAGATTTGAGGGAGGCCTACGTCCAGCAGTGGACACTTCAAGCTGGTTGATGATGATGGTGTACTACCAGTCATGACATATGAATGCGAAACATTGACACTTAAAACGGACATCATAAGAAAACTGCAGGTCGCACAACGCTCAATGGAACGAAATATGCTGGGATTAACGAAGAAAGATCGTAAAAGAATAGATGAGTGGATACGACAAAACATCCAGGTAATAGATGTCATCAACAGAGTCAAATCCCTCAAATGGCAATGGACAGGACACCTGGCAAGAAGAACAAAGAGAGTATCTAAATATGTGAGGGAGGCTACACCATAATTGGAAATGGTTGAATAAGCTGAAAATGATGATGATGATAATGATAGTTATTTTTTTACCTGTAAAATACGACAGATGGTAAACTGGGCAAATCGTACTCTTTGGCAATCCCTTCATCAGAAATCTTTACGAAATCAATATCTTTATCTTCACAATCGTCATCGATATTTTCTAATTCTTGAAGAATCTTTTGCGATCTTTTATCTCCTTCTTTGTCTGAAATAAAAATGTAATTAACTTACTTAAATAATAAAACTTTACTATGCCTCACAAAAATAGACAACAACATATTCGTTCTCAGCCAGGATTTTATCAAGCATTTTAATGTTGACTTCCTCAATTCGATCGGGAATTTCTAAAGTATCTTCATCGGTCAACCATGCAAGAACTTCGTCTTCATCTTCAATATCTCCCTAGATTAAATATTATTATACTGATGAATAAATATTTCATGCCTATTTTGTTTATACCTGATAAACTAAGGGTTCTTTATTTCTAAAGAAAACCAGTTTTGGGAAGGTTTTAATATTATGTTTTTTAGCCAGTACCAAATCTTCCGTTGTAACGAAGATTATACCAGTTTCATCTAGCTCATCGTCGATGTTTTCAAGCTGGTTGAGGATGTCATCACATTTGTCACCTTAATTTGTTTTAAATTAGTTAATATGTTAATATACACTCACCGGTACAAAAAACGGGCAGCTTAAAATTTTCATGTATTTTAAAGTTTAATATATTTTGTTCTAGTGGGCCGATTTTGATGATTTTTTAAGAAATTTGTAGCTAAAGTTCTAATTAGAGTAGTAGTTCTAGTATTCTTTGGTTCTAGTAGCTAAAGCTGACTTTTTAGTATCTCTTTCTAAATTAAAAATGAAAATTTGAATTATGAAATGAAAAGTTTCCATCTGTCAATTATACGGGGAAACAAAATGTTGATATTTTGATGAAAGTTTGAAACACCCTGTGGAATATGTTAACAAAGCAAGGAATTTAAAAACCATTTTATCATCTAGGTACGTCTTTTCTCGATAGTTTGTTTTTTGATTCATCTCAATAGCTTTATTTTTGTTGGAGATATTCGCTTTTAAATAACACAGTAACGATTTTCAGCAATTTTAGCATTGATTTTGGCTCCTCATCGTCACTGTCATTGAAAAGTCATATTATTGTCATAATTGTTTATTGACGTTTACTCCAGTAGAGATGGTTTTAAGTTCTGAAGTATCGGCTATTCTATCTATCTATCGTATGGCTAAACATCACAACAAAACATGGAATCACAATCACTGTACAAGTAAAGAGCAGGAAATAAGTAAGTGTGGAAAAAATAATAATAGTCTGACAGAGTCAAAAATGTACAAACAACTATACATATAACAGGTATTACAAACAAACATCCAAATTACGGATGTATTCGACTGCACTGTCTGTAGCTTCCAGGAAATCATCAAAGGGACCGGAATAGGATCTTAATGGGCATGCTTCTACTATGTGCCGGAGAGTTTGTCTGCCGGTATTGCAGTCGCATTCTGGGGAAGCTGACTTTCCCCATTTAAACATAGAATCGGCACACCTCCCATGATTTGTCCTTATACGGTTCAACGTAGACCATGTCTTACGTGGTATGTCAAAGCCTGGTGGGCGATAACTTTGTGGCTTGTCGTTAGGCTGACCAGGCTTTAGAATGGCAATGATTTTAGCTCTTTTTAGGGACTGTGGAACAGTGCCTGTTTTAATTATGTCGGTGAAAAAGTGCATCAACCATCGCTTTGTAAATTCACCACAATTCAGAAGGAATTCCGAGTGGATGCCGTCAAATCCCGGAGCTTTGCCAGCCTTAATATGTTCTAATGCAGCTAATACGGCTATTGTTTATAATCGATAACCTTTAATTGATCATGGTAGAGATCAAATTTTTGGACTTTAAACCATATCTGCTAGAGTAACTTCCCAACAGAGAATAATAATATGATTTTTCATGATAGTGACATTACATAAATCATAAACACTACTCTATTGGTCTATTGACTAGGACCAAAAGCAAATGGATGGTTTTAATGTAACGAATACGAAAAAATGTCTCCTTCAAAAGCGAATATCTCTAAAAAAAATTAAGCTATTGAGATGAATCAAAAAACAAACTATCGAGAAAAGATATACCTAGATGATAAAATTATTTTTAAATTCCTTGCTTTGTTAACGTACTCCACAGGATGTTTCAAATTTTCACTAAAATATCAACATTTTGTTTTCCCTCGTATAATTGACAGATGGCAACTTTCGTTTTTAATTTACAAAGAGACACTAAAAAGTCAAATAATTTAGCTACAAATTGCTTAAAAGATCATCAAAATCGGTCAGGTAGAACACAAAATATAAAACTTTAAAATACATGAAAATTTTAAGGTGCTCGTTTTTCGTGCAGGTGAATATATTTTACGCATGAGATTCATTATGTTAAATTTATTTTACCTTCATCACAGTTTCCTGTAAAGTAAACCACTACATATTCGTGTTCGTTTATTAAGTCTTCCAAAATTTCATCTGTAACCTCTTCAATTGTCGCCGAATTCTTTTGTTCGATTAACCATGCTAGTACCTTAAATAAATAATTTAAAAGAAAGTATTATAGTTATCACTTTTATAGTATTCAGAATACCTACCTCTTCTTCATTCATCAAATCTCCTTCGTAAAGTGAAGGTATTTTATCTTCAAAATAAATTAGGGTAGGTAAGTGGTCAATACCAAATTCCTTGGCTTCAGCGTCGTTATCTATTCGTACAATAACGATGCCTTCCCTTTCTAGATCATCGTCGATGTTTTCTAACTCATTCAGAACCCTGATGTCCTGCTTATCGTCTTTGTCATCTAAATATTTAGCTTATTAGTGAAAAGAGCAATATGTCAACAATGTACTGATAGCAATATAGGTCTCACAATTTATTATTTTTCCTATACCGGGTGCGTCTTAAAAGTGGCTCACCCCTATAACTTTTTTATTCAGATAAAAAAATAACGATATTTGGTATGTTAGTAAATTTATTGATAAGTAGATAAATATTCAGTTTTTTCGTCATTTCCTGGTCCATCGGAAATGATAGCCTAATAGCTGACGACATATTTAGAGAACATATTTTAGGCAAGCTAGAATAACTAAAAATGTATAGTTTATTAACTGGTGAACTCAGAATCCTAAGTCTGGCTGGGGGGTTGGGGGTATTTCGCTACTGCGCAACCCATAACATTTGCAAAAAAAATAAATCCAAAAAACATTCTTTAGGCAATTTGAAATTTGTTTATTCTTAAATTTTAGCATCTATTTAACCTAGAAATAAGTATGCCAGACTTTTTTTAGGGTTTAAAGTGTAACCCGACCATTCCAAATATGTTTAATTATTATACCTGGAAAACATACTATTCAGGCATTCTAAAATTTTTACAGCGTGTTTATTAGAAGATATTAAAAAATATGTGTTAATTGCCAGACGAATTCAATGGGATTTAATACTTGTCTAACGCGAATAAAGATTTTAAATGAGCGCGATAAGAAAGTCTTATAAGTATCTATAAGCGCGAGAAAGATAGTTTTCAGCCAGCATTCCACTTACTATTATTATTCCCCCCTTACCAACCCCCCACCCACGCCAAAAACTAATGGCCAGATTCCCGGGTGCCACAGTATTTTTGTGCCAAATTTGGTTAAAATCGGTTTAGTGGTTTTTGAGTTATCGTGTTAGAGATAGAGGGACAGACAGACAGACAGACACCATGAAAATATTTTGTATTTAGGTTATTTATGACCCAAATTTGAGTGACCCATTTTGAGTGAAATTAAAAAAACTTTTTTTTGCCGATCTTAATAGCTAGATCTACCATACCTGTTGGTATGGTTGGCTAATAAAAATGTTATAAGGGTGAGACGCACCTGGTATATTATTAAATATCTAATTTTAAGCTTATTGTTCTTTATACAGGGTTTTAAGTAGCCGACAAAAATAGGATGCGATTCCTTTTATGTTTTTAGGAAAAAAATTTATCGTATATTTATATTTCTGATGTTTAGGATAAAGTGTATTTTTTTATCTCTTAAAATATAAAATTATTGATTCAAAATTAAATATGTGTATGCCAATTAATCATATGTACGAAGAGTTCTAATTCTTACCATTACCACATTTAATACTTTTAATATTTGTATTAATACTTACAAAATAAAACAGCTAAGTACTTTTGAGACTCAATTAGCAGATCCATCATTTCATCCGTAATATCCGGAATTTCACTGTGCTTTTTCTGGTGAATCAACCATCCTAATAATTCTTCTTCTTTTGTTAAATCTCCTACAAAATAATTTTATTATTACTTTATTATTTTACGCCATTTAATATTTCGTCGTCGGTACCTTCATACAGATGTGGAATTTTTTTTTCGAAAAACACCAAACTAGGTATAACATCAATACCATACTCTTTAGCTTCGTCATCATTATCAATTTTTACAAAGACGATGTTGTTTTGATCACATTCGTCATCGATATTTTCTAGTTCAGCTAATACTTTTTGGGATTTCTTTTGGTCTTTATCATCTGAAAGTATGAAAATAACGCTTAGGGGTTCGCTAAGGTATATTTCTATCGTACATACAAAAGAGTACGGCTACGAACTGCTTCTTCTGCAAAAGAATATCGAGCATCTCATCTGTAACGTCTTCAATTTCGTCATTCTTCAACTGATGTTCGAACCATTTCAATACTTTATCTTCATCTTCCAAGTTGCCTTCGTATAAGGTGGGGATACCAGTTTCGAAATATACTAATGATGGAATTTTCTCAATTCCTAAAAATTAATTTGAGTAATTGTCAGTTGTGTTTACGACTGGACATACAGAGAAATGGCAATTTCGATGCTCAACATTGGCATCTCAAAATTACGAGAGATACGAATTCGGTTATAGAGGTGTGTAGTTCGTGAACGAACTAGTTCCAATGAACTATTCCGACCCCGGAACGAAAGGAACTTGTTTCCGGTTTCTAAAAGAACTAGTTCCTCAGGATCTATTTAGGAATCGAGACTGTGACCGATATATAGTAATATGCGACGGTGACGGATCGGCCAGCGCGATCCTAGCCCGATGCTAGGCAGGAGTTGGGAGTGCCAGCCGTATGTTTTCTGATCCGGACCTAGAGGAACTAGAAGAATTAAATAAAAGACTAGTTTACGTACGGATTGGCCAGCGCGATCATAGCCCGATGCTAGGCGGGAGTGGAAAGTGCCAGCCGTATGTTATCTGTCCCGGACCGAAAGGACTGAGAGGAACTAATTAAAAGACTAGTTCACGAGAATTTATTCAGTCGATAATACAAGGCGACGACGATAGCCGGCGTAATTACCACAGAAAATTGTCGTGGATACTGTTTTTGATTCCTAGTTTGTTCTTTGAATATTTTATGGGAATGTTTCACTTTAGGTCCCTAAAATTAAGAAATATCTTATAAAACAAAGTAGGTATTCTAAATTTTTAGACAAAAACAAAAAGCTTGAACTGAGGAAAAATGCAATTTTTCGTAAAGTTTTCGTTTTATTTGCTCCAATTGATTTGTGATATAGTTTTTAAACTCTGATTTGAGTTTCTTTTTGATTTTTTTTATCTGAAATAAAACTTACTTATATTTTCTCCTTTTTTTTTAACATACAAATTACACATCTCGTTATATTTCGTACATTATAAAAATTATACAGATCATACTGTGAATAGTTCTGACTGACAACGAAACCCATTAGCAAGCAACGGGGATGTCAATGTTAGTCGGGAACTATTGTGAACTAAAAACCTAGTTCAAGGAACTATTCCTCCGAGGAACTGGAACTAAGGAATTAGTTCCACCCAAGGAACTAGAATTGCCACCTCTATTCGGTTAAATGAGACAAAAGTTGCATTATTAGAAGCGTTGCAAACGTCTGTGAAGAAAATTCCGATAACTTGATTTGTTTCAAATTTATGTAAAAAAATTAGAATATTTTCAGAACTATTGTATGTATTGCAACATTGATAGTTCTATATTTTTGCATTCGGTCAAATAAATGCCGTTTTCAGAAAATTTTTAAGCCTTTTAAATTTCGCACAACAACACGTCGGTATACAAGAATAAGTAACCAAGTACAAAATTTTCATCAATTCAACTTTTGAAGTGAAAACTTCTTTACGCGTGTTGGGAGTGAAAATTCAAGGTCGCGACACGACACACATCGTACGAGAGGAAAAGTTGTAAGGATAGCCTACGGCTTAGAAAAAATTGTCCGATTTAAATGAAATTTGGTATGTCGATAGATTGGACCAAGGCCAACTTAACCGTGTACGACACGTGTCACTGTGACAGTTAGTTTTGACGTAAAAAACGTCCAAATTTGATGTCGTCCGATCGCGACCAAATTTGCTGGGTAGGCTATGTGAGCGACGTTGCACACGGTCCCACCCTGCAAAGTTGGATACGACGTTGCGTTTACATCTTCATCAGGGTGGGACTAAGAATTTGATATTGAAGAACAATGTGGGTCGATTTCGGCATAATTGGGGACGGGCTACAGGATGACGCCCTCGACGTTTCGAACCGATGCCTCTAGATGGATGAAATCATCAGGATTTTTTTAATTATGGGTCGATTGGAACCAAACTCGGCACGTGGATAGAGGTCCCCGAATGGAGTCCTCAGTCGGACAGACGGCCATTTTAATACAAATTTTGTGAAAGTGAATCAAGTTATTCATTAATTTTTAATTTATTACTTTTTCAACATTTCAAACCACACTTTTAAAACATATCCTTCAAATCCTTCAATTTAGTAGCTGTTTTTAACGCAAATTTTGTCTCATTTAATCGAATTGGTAACTTGCGTAGTTTCTGAGTTGCCCATGTTGAACATCGCAATTGTCACCACCCTCTATTTATGTGTATTTAATACCGTATTCTTTGGCTTCATCGGCGTTATCGATTTTAACAAAAACGATGCCCAATTTGTCGCATTCGTCGTCGATATTTTCGAGTTCGTTTAAAACTTTTTGTGATTTTCTATCTTTGTCGTCATCTGTAAGAGAAATCAGTTTTATACGTTTGGAAGAACAAATGTTTAAGTAATATTACAAAATAAAACAGCTAAGAATTTTGATTCAGCTATGAGTTTATCAAGCATCTCATCGGTCACATCTTCAATTTCATCCTTTTCCAGTTGTTCCACGAGCCAATTTAGGAGTTCTTCCTCTTCTTCTAAGTCGCCATCATAAACATTTGGAATACCTTTTTCGAAATACACTACGCTGGGTAAACTATCCAGTCCTATAAATAAACAAAACCAAAATTAATTAAGAACTATACAGTTTGGTCGAAATTGTATTCGAGAAACATCGGCAGCATATTATTCTAGTTATTGAAAAAAATCGAAATAAAAATGAAAATTCTACACCCTGTATCTCCTAAACGAAGCATTTGAAGAGATACATTTATACGAACTTTTTTACTTATTTTTATTTGCAGAATATGCTGTAGATAAAATATTGACCACCCTGTATTTTAATTGTTTTATTTTACCATATTCATCGGCAGCTGCAGGATCGTCAATTTTCACGAACTGGATGCCATATTTATCACAATCGTCGTCAATGTTTTCTAATTCGTCTAATATCTGCAACGATTCTTCCTCTTCATGATCATCTAAAATCAAAATCATATTAATAAGTAATAAATTTTATAGCACGCTTTTCTTACAAAACAACACAGCTAAATGGTCAACACTACTGATAAGTGTACCAAGGGTTTTTAACGTTACATCTTCAATAACATCATCTTCATCTCCTGTACTTTTATGTTGCACCAACCATTCCAGCACATCTTCTTCCTTCGTTAGATCTCCTGAAATTATAATACACATGATTGAGTCTATGTTTGAAGACAATAAATCATTTGAATGAAAAGTGCTATGCCAAAATTTGATTGTCTATTTTCTGTTATATGTCTTTTTAAGAGCTTTGAAGGTTTTATAGCATTTCCGGATTCATACACTTTTCATATAACCAATTATAAAATATAAAAAAATGATATACAGGGTTCTGCAATAATGCGTTGGGCATCTGTAGTAGCCTGTAGCTTCTAGAATAAAAAACTTGGGAATTTTGTTTAAGTGCAAATCTAAAGTATGCTCTAGGATGTATTTCAGGAAAATACTTAAATTTCTGTAGGGTGGCTCAAAAAAGTGTGAGTGGATCGGGATGATTTTTTTTAAATGGAACACCCTGTATATTATTGCATTTTTGGCTTCCTTTTGGATCACTTTACATAATCCTAAGATATGAGTAAATATATTTTGATAGTTTCGGAGATATTAATAAATAAATAAAAAATATATATTTTCAGCCTTTCTTAAAAAATATTAAAAATACAAGAACTATCTTGAAATCAAAACTATATTAGGTATTTACTTTAGATGGCCTATACTTACTTTGCTATAAATATGGTAATCGTAAATCATACAGGATGTTCAAAATTCTACGCAAGACTTTCTAAAATATAGAATATTTTATCATGTTTTTTTTTTAAATGGAACACCCTGTATATTATTTTTCCAATAGATGGAGAATTAAAAAATTAACATTTTTTGTATTTAGAGTATTTCAAAATTTTTAACGGTTTCGCAGATATTCGCGGTTTTATTTTTCATATGGCCCCCATTTTCCATAGCAAATTTTTATCAAAGCCACCCAATGATTTTTCTCGTATTTTATCGTGCAGAGTGCCATATGAAATAATATTGTGTGTATCTGCGAAACCATTAAAAATTTTGAAATACTTTAAATACAAAAAATGTTAATTTTTTAATCCATCCATTTTCTCCATCTAATAAAAAAATAATATACAGGGTGTTTCATTGAAAAAAAACCAAAGAAACATTATTTTATATTTTTGAAAATTTGGCGTAGAATTTTGAACACCTTGAATGATTTATGATTACGATATTTATAGCAACGTAAGTATAGACCATCTAATGTAAATACCTAATTTTTGATTTTAGGACAGTTCTTGTATTTGTAATAATTTTTTTATAAGGTTGAAAAAAATATTTTTTTTATTAATTTATTAATATCTCTGAAATTATCGAAATATATTTACTTATATCTTAGGATTATGTAAAGTGATCTGAAAGGAAGCTAAAAATGCAATAATATACAGGGTGTTCCATTTAAAAAAAATAATCCCGATCCACTAAGACCTTTTTGAGCCACCCTATGGAAGTTAAAATATTTTCCTGAAATACATCCTCGTACATACTTTAGGTTTACACTTAAACTAAATTTTCAAGTTTTTTATTCTAGGAGCTACAGATGCCCGACGCACTTTTGCTGGACCCTGTATAACCAATTATAAAATAAAAAAGAAATAATATAGAATGAACATAGAAAATCGAACCAATCTTTTACCTGAATAAATAATAGGAATTTGATGCCTATAGTACACCAGAGATGGTAAAGGGCCAAGGTTATATTCTTCGGCAAGGTTTTCATCATTGATCTTGACAAATCCAATGCCAAGTTGATCAGCTTCGTCGTCGATGTTTTCCAATTCTAACAGAACTTTAGAGCACTTCTTGCATTCTGGTTTATCTAAAAAACATTTTAGTTATATTTTGGTTATCCAAATGTATTTTAGTTTTAATAAAAAATATATATACAGGAGAGTGCACCAAAAAATATATTTTTTTCTTTTTAGTTACCGTGAAAATATCGTTCAGGACGATGAAAAAAAAATCTGGTAAAGTTTGGCTTCTAATATTGATATTAAGAGGTGCCTCATCGTGATTTTGTATTTCCCATTTAAATAACACGGGGAAACATTTTTTTTTCTTTGGAATTTTATTGCCTCGTAACAAATCAGCGTTTTGTAAAAACCAATACATATTCTTGTAGGAAATTGAACGGTCTTCAAAAAAGATCTGATATGAATTTTCATTTAATCGACTCGTTTGAAAGTTATTGAAGGTTAAAGTTCAACTTCAAATGGTATAATATGATACCTTCTACAATTTTTTTATATTTTATCACGAAATATTGGCTCATAAACATAAACTGTCATATTTTATCACGAAATAATGGCTCAAAAACATAAAATATCAGATTTTAATATTACTTAATATTGATATTAAAAGCTCAAACTTTACTAGAATTTTTTTTCATCATCCTATACGATATTTTCACGAAGAAGAAAAAAAGAAAAAATATATTTCCTTTTGGTGCACCCTAATATATAGGGTGTCAAAAAATAGTGTATTTTACACATCAAAATAAAACATAAAGTTCCTACGGACATATGCCCTAAAATGTTTGCCGAAAAAGTTACAGCCGTTGAAAAGGTAAATAAAATATAATATATTTTGTTTATTTTTAAGAACATTAGTGAACCGTATGTATATTTACCATAGAAATAAACAAAATACAATTGTTTTAATTTACCCTTTCGAGGTTTGTTACTTCTTCGGGAAACATTTTAGGACATATTTTGTTCATAGAGGAACTTTTTGTTTTATTTTTATCTGTAGAATCAACCAAACCAAACCCACCGAAGTTAGGTACACTATTTTTTGACCCCCTGTATATATAGCGTAGAAGTTTTTGTAGGATTTTGTGATAATATAAGGAAAATTATGTCCTTCCATCAATATAAGTTCAAAAAATAGATTTTATATATATTTTTGTTGCGTCTGGCGACCGAGAAGATCTTTAGAAGAATTGGTTAGTGTTTTGTTGTTTTGTTAAACAAATTCCTTTTGGAATAATAAGAAACTGAGAGGTGTGTGTCTGTACACTGCTATTATACATACTTATATTAGAAATAAATATTAATATAATCACATTTTATATTAGTTATAAAAGGTAGAATATTATATGAAACTTTTTATTTCACTTTTATGTGAATCTTTCTGCATCTCCTTTTTTCATGTTTTCGCTTTTTTAATAATACTAAACTTACACTGCCTACACTGTTCCTAATATAAATATAATAAACTAATAAAAAGTATATGCGACTGGGTATTTACCAGCTTGTTAACGATCATGCAGATGGATTTTTGGATATTTCCAGGGATATTTAAGACTTGAAATCAAAACAGAAACCGCCCACAGCAGTAATTAAATTAAGTAAAAAATATTACTCGTGGATAGAAAGTTAACTATAAATATATTCAAATGATTTTTTTTATAATATAATCTCAAATATAGAGTTTTTGCATTTAGGGTTTACAAATAAAAAAAGGTTAATACTCAAATATCTAGGAAACCATAAAATTTACTTTTAAATTAATAATACTGTATGATCGAATAAAAACGGCGTCAGCGATGGCTCTGAAATGACAATCGATGCTATTTCCCATATAAATTTACATATAAAATGACAGCGATCTTCATTTCATAGCCATCGCTGACGCCGTTTTTATTCGATCATACAGTATATCTTTTAAAAATATTTGTCATCTTAAAGTGGCTCACCCCTATAACTTTTTTATTTTTTTAGATAACAAAACGATATTTGGTATGTTAGTATATGACATAAATTAGGATTGACTGAAGTATTCAATTGTTTTTGGTCACTTCCTGTTTCACCAGAAATTACTACAACTTTTGAGTTTTAAATGGCAGCCTCGGTATATTTCTACTTTATTTGATAGAAAATGACACTCTGAGCTCACTCTGAGTAGAATGACAACTCTGAGTAATATGTCAACTTTTGAAAAAATCGTGTTTTAAGTTTCAATGCAGTACCAGAGTACCATGGCCCATGGCTGTGTTAAAAACACTAATTTTTAGTCAAGGAGATTTGGAAAAATAGATTTGATCGTCTAATGTTTTTCGTGTTTTGTTCTGGCCCGTTAAAAGATGCCCAAATCGTATTTACAATCATATCTCAATTTTTTCAAATGGAACAAGGGTGGCTCAAAAAATCGTATCAATTACAAGTGTGCCATGTGAAACGCCAAACAAAACTGTTAAAAATTAGAGCGCCACAGCTATGTTAAAAACACTAATTTTTAATCAAGGAGCCTTGGAAAAATAGATTTGATCGTCTAACAACACAATGGTGGCTCATTAGCATATTTGAAAAAGCATTTTATACGAATAATTTGGTACCACACACTTGGTATTTCGAAATTTTTGTTATGAACCGCACGTTACAATTTCAAATAAACTATATGCGAAAATGTCAAAAGTTGACACATGATATGTCATTCTATTCAGTGTCATTTTCTATCGAATAAAGTAGAAATATACCAAGGGTGCCATTTAAAAATCAAAAGTTGTAGTCATTTCCGGTGAAACAGGAAGTGACCAAAAACAATTGAATAGGTCAATTAATCCTAATTTATGTCACATTATAACATACCAAATCTCGTTTTATTATCTGAAAAATTAAAAAAGTTATAGGTAATGTAAATTGTAAAGAACCGTTTAATAAAATATTCTGTTTTTATAAGTTATAAATTATAATAATTAAATAAATAACAGAATAAGAATACTACCAACTAAGTGAAATTAGTCAAGAAAGATAAGAATTGGCTATAACTCAAGTAATTTTTCGAAAAAAACATATTATAGCTTATATCGCTAAAAAGCTTAAAAATGGCGCTTTTTATGAAGTCATGGCCAATTATGGTTTTCAAAAAAACATAAGTTTGCGTCACATGTCAAAAATGTCTCATTAAGGATGTGATTATCTACAACTTTTATCTGAAAACTTTGTGTGTGTATAAAATAGATTATAATTGAACTAGGGACCATTTTTAAAATAGCCGAAATTTGTTTTTTTTCGAAATATCTAGTAAGCCATGAACTTTTTCAAAAAATCTGAAAGGCGCTTTCTTATTTATGACCCCACACAACTGCAATTCTTTCTCAATTTAACCGACTCTCTATCTCCAGTAGTTTCCGAGATACCCATAGAGAACATCGTAGAAAACGCACCCTGTATTGTAATATAATTGTATGAGGTTTTATAACACCATACAGAAATGTGTTAAAAACTTCTACTGCCATACTAATGCTTATTCTTAAAGAAAAATTTATATGAAATATAATTTATAGTTTTCTATTACAAGAATATTATGTCGCTGAAAAGAAACCTTAAAATCTAAATAAAAACTGGGGTTAACTAAGCTATTATTTAACCTTCAATCACCGATTTAACACAAAAAAACAGAGTAGGTACTTCGGGACAGAGCTGCAAGCTCACAGAAAACTTATTTTTTTTTATTTAAATCATTTTAATGACTTAAGTCATTTGATTTTACGTCATATTTTGAAAGCTGAATATACATATGACAGTGTGTTATGTCATATTTTGGATGCCGTCTGTCGAAATTAAATATTTTTTGGCTGGACAGACTATATTAACTAGAAGTAAAATATTATATCAAATTTATTTATCTAAATTATCCAATATCCAGTTCTTTCAATCAACGTTATTATCCTCTTACAGAGATGCAACAAGTCTAATGCTACAACTAATGCTGCTTTTAAAAAATCATCTTAAGGCTGTATTCCGTTGCAAAACCAGGCGAACCAGACCGCTAAACTACAGTAAAGAGCGGTTCCTGAAAAACATCGGTTTGATACGGAACGGTTTGGTAAAATCAAAGGGTAAAATACTGGAAACGTCAAATGTTTACGTTTTCTAAATTTCAATACCTCTATTATAAAATTTATCTTTTATGCATTTTTAATGTACCTATTCTCTGCATGTTTGCTTGTTCTTTTCAATGGAGTTTAATATTGAACAGTACTTTATTAATAAACTGTTAAACTCGTTAGACAGCTTAAATGAAGATTTGCAGATCCAATATTGAAAACAGGTCAATAATAAATAAATAAATCTAATCAATATTTATATTTTTATAGCTTACAAAACATTCACGATTACTTGTTGTCTTGTTTTTCATGTTTTCTTTAAATGTTCCTGACTTTAAGAAACAATGGCTGCATGATAAGTTTAAATGGTCATTCTGATCATAAAAAAATTCATTCTATTGAGTTAATGAAATTTATTTACCTTTACGCCTACCTCCAGTGCTTTTGGATGTAAATACAAAATATTATTACAAAAATTTTAGAAATTAAATGAGAATTTCACTCGAACTTCCAATATTTTGCTTGATTTCTATCACATAAATGACATTGATTGACAAACAAAACCAGAAAAACCAACCTTCTCGCGCTGGTTAGTTTGGTGACAATTATAACCGAATTTTTGAGGAACCGTGTTCCGTAATAAGAAAACTTTCAGAAAACCGATAGAAACGGAACATAAAACCATAACCATGATAAGCAACGGAATACACCCAAAAAACATAAATATACAAAAATCTGACTGAAGTCTCTTATAAAGAAACATAAATCTTTTTAATAAGTCTTTTCTAAAAAGACTTAAATCTTTTTCTATTTCGGAATAACGATTTAAATCACAAATCATTGTGAAAAAGCCTTAAATTTTAAGTCTTAAGTCAGCTTTAGAAAAATAACTTAAAATCAAATGACTTAAGTCATTAAAATCATTTAAATCAAAAAAAGATTTAAGTTTTCTGTGAGCTTGCAACTCTGTCCTCTTATTATTCATAGCGAAGCTCATATTAGATGCATATATTTACAGCAAGTAAGCTTTAAGCGCCTATACTTACTGGCACCACCTTTCTGACATGTTTCTTGATCTGGACCTAAATGGTAAATTGTTAATAACTATATTAGTAACTAATTAACATTAACGATAAAAACTCAGATTAAAACTAATATTAAAAACATAGACTTTATATTTAAAGCTTTTAAAAAATTTTCCTAGATTTTTTCATTTTTATGATTTTGCGTCATTATATTTTTATTATTTAATAAAATCTAGGTGACTGTGATTGTGTTTTGTTAATTTAACAAAAATTAAAGGATGTAGAGTAAAATACTGTAATAAAAATATATACGTTTAAGACATATTTTAATTATTACAGCATTAAAACATGATATAAACGTATAATTGTATGAGAAAAATTAGCTAGATTAAAGAGTTTTGTAAACACTGTCTTTAACATATCCTAATAACAAAAAGTCCAGACTGTATCAGGAGAATTTAAGTATTCTATTAATGGGTAAATGCATACTGCAGTCACCAACTAATACAATCATATTATATCGATTCTCTGTGATGTGGGATAAGTTTCCATTTTCGGCAAATTTTTAAGAATGTTTATAGTTTTAATAGCAACTAGATTGTCACTAGATTATTTGATAAAATCTAGGGAGTAGTGATATATTGACGTCAGACATATCACAGCTACCTTGATTTTATCAAATAATCTAGTGACACTAGCCTACTAGATCTACTGACACTAAATCATAAAAATGAAAATATATAGGAAAATCTTTGTCTGAGTGGTAGGCAACCTTAATAGTATTTTGAAGATATATGAATTCTCCCTTGAAAATCGGAATAATATACTAGGTGTTCTATTTAAAATAAAAGAGTAATTTACTTTTAAAAGTGACCAATGTTCAATATTAATTTTGTCTCACCCTGTACAACTTTTCGGATCAAGTTTTAATTTGATTTAAAGTACAATAGTTCTTTTAACTACACATTAGGCTATGGTAGGTGAATTCCAATTTAGGTAGCTTTTATTGAAGTTTAAAAATTGTTCTTCATTAGACATTGTTAAATATGCCAAAAGCCTTACACTTTAATCACATACTTCTCTAATGAAATTCACCTTTATTTTTCTAAATGGGTGTTACATTACAAAAAACACAACTTTGATGTGTAACTTTTTTAATTACACCCTGTAGAACTCTCTATATTTTTAAAAATTGCCCTAAATTAACCTACATATGCTCAGAAAATTTCACTTCAATACAACGTTCGTCGTTCTCTTTGGAGCCTCTACGTCGTATGAGAGGTGCCACCCTGTATATTTGCTACATTATTTATTTTATTATTCGCTATAAAATAGATAAATATAATTTTTCTAACTTACAGAATAATACGGCTACAAAATCGGTTTCTTGTACAATTTTTTCTAGGATTTTCGCGTTTACTTCTTCTATTCTGTCCGGTAGATCCATAGCTTCCAAACTCGTAAGAAAGTCCAATACGTTTTCTTCATCCATCAAGTCACCTACAAACAAATATTTCCGACTTAATGTTTAGAATTTTAGAGTGGTACACAATTGAAGGGTCCAGGGGAAACATAAGCGCCATTTTACTAATTTTACAGGAGAGCACAGGACAGTTGGTGGTTATCAAGTTCTTTCCGTGTATTCTGTATTTTGATTAGGCATATATCACAGAATTTAACAACTTATTGCCCTGCCGAGTTAATACATTTTGTAGGGACCAGTTAGACCTACTAAAATATTGTAAAATCCTAAAATTAAAAAAGTGGCGCTTATAAAGTTTTCCCCTGGTTCCTTCAATTGAAGTATTTTTGAGAATTTCAAAAAATAAAATGATGGTATCTTGGAAACGTCCTCTCCTATTTGACATTTAATAACACCATCTTATAAAGAGACAATATCGACTAATGAAGTGGCAGTTATTTTAAAGTATGACTTCAAATAATAATAATAATAATAGCTCCCGTATATAGCGTTTAACGCCTTGGGAGTAGCAAGGTACGGCTTGCTATACTAGAGCCGTTCGGTATACAAGGAAGGTAATGTGGCTAGCACTACGCTTCAACCGCCTATTATTACCTCAGGATTGTGAATCCCAAGTATTCATTTAAAACTGAGTCGACCTAGGTACCCAAACTATTTTTATTTTAATAAAAATAGTCGGCTGATGCAATGCCGGGTGTAGGATTCGAACCCACTACCTTGAAATTGGTAGACGAGAGCCTGTACCTCTACGCCACCGGGCACTGGTATACTTCAAATAATGCTAGGATAAAATAAAATCGATTTTACAATATTTTTGTTGCGTATTTCTTCGGAAGTATTCGAAATTTTTTAATTCTCAAAACATCATTTATTGAACATGAAATTGCGAAACTTTGCCTATTTTGCCATTCGGATCTCTTATAATTTCCTAGATACTAATGATCGCCCTTGAATATGGAACACTCTGTACATGTAAGAAACTAGTTATAGTATACAGGGTGGGCGTCTCAAAAGGGACTCACCTCTATAACTTTTTTATTTTTTCAGATAAAAAAAACGAGATTTGGTATGTTAGTATATGGCATAAATTAGGGATTGATTGACGTATTCAATTATTTTCGGTCACTTCCTGTTTCACCGGAAATTACTATAGCTTTTAATTTTTAAATGGCACCCTTGGTATTTTTTTACTTTATTCGATAGAAAATGACACTCTGAAGAGAATGGCATATCATACGTCAACTTTTGACATTTTTGCTTTAAAAAAATCGTATTTTAAATTTCAATATAGAGCACCATGGCTGTGTTAAAAACACTAAATTTTAATCAAGGAGCCTTGTAAAAATATTCGTCCATCGTCTAATGTTTTTCGTGTCTTGTTCTGGCTAGCTAAAAGATGCCAAAATCGTATTTTGAATCATCAATTTGTTCAAAAGGAACGATGGTGGCTCATGAGCATATTTGGAAAAAGCATTTTTTACGAATAATTTGGTACCACACACTTGGCATTTCGAGTCAAATTGTCGTTAAATTTATGACCATGGCACTCTAAAAAATTTAAAATTCTATTTTTTTTTAAATTGAAAATGTCAAAAGTTGACCTATGCTATGCCATTCTATTCAGAATGTGCTTTTCTATCAAATGAACTAAAAAAATACCAAAAGTGTTATTTAAAAATCAAAAGTTGTAGTCATTTCCGGTGAAACAGGAAGTAACCCAAAAGAATTGAATACGTCAATCAGTCCTAATTTATGTCATATACTAACATACTAAATCTCGTTTTTTTATCTGAAAAAATAAAAAGTTATAGGGGTGAGCCGTTTTTGAGACACACCCGGTATTTATCTTGATTATTTTTTATCCTCTATTAATGGTTATTTCTAGTGATGAAACGGATAGTTGTTTGGCCGGATACTGAATACCGGATATTCGGTGAGCTGCGAGGCCGGATGAGTATACTCAGCTTCTTATGGCAAGAATTACTATTTTGTTATAAATTATAGAGTTCAGTTAATATTTGGGCATATTTTTACCAGATTTAGCTTTTAGAAACTTGTTTTTTCTAATTGAACAATGTGCGTGGCTAAAATTGTGAATACAAAACCTTAAATTTGAGTTTGAAAAGTTAGTTAGGTTATATCAGATGCCGGTTTTAGATATTCTTTTCCTAAGTTGTTATTATAAAAATGTTTTATTATGGGGTTCTATTTAGTGCATACACGGCCGAAGAAAAATATAAGCTGCTAAAGTAAATGTTTGCTTCCACGGGTGTACACAAAATATAGAAGTTCCAGCAACAAACGTATCACCAGTTCAACCTTTGATTTGATGTAAACAGTAATTGTTCCTTGATGAGAAATGTGAATTAAATAGTTTATGGTGTGATTGTATTAGTCATTTATTAATAGTTTTTCATAAAAAACATTTGAAATTGATATGTTTACATGCAGTTCAGTGTGATATCATTTTAAAAAACATTAAAAACTTTCGTAACAAACTAGTAGTGGTTTTACCGCAATTGACAGAAACTGAATCACGAAAATTAAAAGTATTTTATCAGGAATAACTTCAATGGAAAGTGAAGATGAACACTACTGTTGCACCCTTTAATCAGTGTTATCACTGTTAATTTTAGCCACCTGCTAGTAGGTAAATTATTTTTATTTTATAACAAGGCCTCCTAAGTTATGTTATGCAGATGTTGATTTTAGGCTATATTCTCTATTAATTTGAATTTGAAATTAATTTGTACACTGATGGTATATAATTTGAATGTTTTTCTTAACATCTATCCATATTTTTTTAAATAAATAGTTATACCACTTATATTAGGACTTTTGAAAAGGCTTGGGTTTCTTTCACCCCATTCTTTATTTGCCTTTTTTCCACTGTAAGTCCCACTTATACAGCCAGGTACGAAGCGAGATCTATTATATAGGTTTTTTTTTAATCACACTCATTGTTACATTGCTAATAGTTCAATAAAATAACTATAAATTTAAAAAAACTAGTAAAAACACAGTTCAACAACAAAATCGTATTCTAATAATGCAAATGATGAATCTAACCCACTTACAGTGCCTCTGGTATCAAACCGAGAAACTTGCTTTAAAGTAGGGACAGAAATTTCAAATATGCCCATTGTCGATTCGCCTCCTCCTTCTAGCCTCCATAGCCATAATTTGCCACTTATTAATTTTCACTATTAATTTTCTAAAATTCCCATTGATAAAAGAAAAAGAACAAGATAGTAAATTTTAAAAATCTCTGCATTTTTTAAAATGTATTATTAGTTACCTATTTATGTCACTATATGAAGTTTTCATTTTTGTATTTTTCATTAAAGTGAATAATGAATATTTTGAGATTTTTTATATGAAGTTTTTGTTATTTTCAGCTTTAAACGAAAGCAATTTAAACTGTAAGTACATTATTTTTTGTTATTTATGTTACTTTTTGAATATCCGGTATCCGGCCGGATAGTGAGTTACTATTCGGTATCCGGCCGGATAATAAATTTAGGCCGGATAGGCTGGATACCGGATAGTTGCCGGATATCAGTTTCATCTCTAGTTATTTCATTTTCTGTATTTTGTTAACACTAAAATTTATGACAGAATCATACCCTAAACATTATTATTCGTATGTTAACATTAATATACCAGACATTCGAGAAAAACGGCATCATAGTGTCTTTGAATAGATAATAATTTCTTTATGTAATTTACAGTGACAGTTAAAGACGGTCACTGCTAAACCGATTTTTAACTGAACAGGCATAATACCAATATATAATTATATTATTCCCTAAATGAAACGATTTGATTGTAATTTATATTTTTAGACGAGGCAGGACCGTTGTGTAAATTTTATAAATAACCTACTGAATGAGCTCTCCATCTCTCTCCTATAGGTAAACCAAAAATTCCATTCAAGGATGACCTACATTTTTTATTATACTATTATTATGTAAAAAAATTGCGATGGTTATGAAATGAAGATCGCTGTCATTTTATATGTAAATTTATACGGGAGCTATCATCGATCGTCATTTCCCAGCCAACTGGCCGCCGTTTTTTCGATCATACGGTATTTAATTTGCAATACATATACTAAATTGTATAATCGAAGAAAAAACGCGTCACAGTCACTGTTGACTATCGATGTGTCAATCGATGAGAAATTAACTGAGTATAAGAAGGAGATAAGAAGGGCAAAGCGGTCGGAATTTAGATCCTTTTGCGAAAACATCACTTCTACTCCTGATGCAGCTAGATTACACAAAGCTATGGCCAAGAGTGGATCTATCCCCAACATGGCACTTAAGGAATCTGACGGAAGCTACACGGAGGGAGAGGAAGAGAGAGCAAATCTCCTACTTTATACACACTTTCCAGGTAGCATACCTATTGATACTTATGTAGCTCCCACTGAACCCCACAATCCTTGCAGGGAAGATTGGGAAGTGGCCAAGCTAGTAATAACAGAACAAAAGCTGAAATGGGCGATCGACACCTTTCAGCCCTATAAAGCTTTAACAGGAGTGGATGGGATCTTTCCTGCCCTTCTAAAGGAGGGTCAGCAAATAGCTACTCACCATCTACTAAGCATTACAAGAAGCAGTCTAGCGATGGGATATATACCAACCACATGGAGAAGAGCAAAAGTAATCTTCATACCCAAAATAGGCAAAACTGACTGGACAAATCCCAAGTCATTTAGGCCTATTTGTCTCACATCGTTCATACTAAAAACGCTGGAGAAAGTAGTTGACAACCATATTGGAGAAAATCATCTAAAGGTTAAACCACTGCATGATAGTCAGCATGCATATAGAACGGGCAGATCCACAGAAACTGCTCTGTACCAATTAACGGAGCTAATACAGACAAGTCTGGATAGCAAAGAAACAGCAATTTGTGCCTTCTTGGATATTGCGGGGGCGTTTGACAATATACCACATAAGGTGGTCAGGCGATCTCTAGAAACAAGAGGGGTGAACAGAACTATTATTCGCTGGTTTTGGGAAATGCTGTCAACACGAACAGCAGAGGCTCAGATGGGCACCAAAACTGTAGCTGTTAAAACAACGCAAGGAACTCCACAAGGTGGAGTAACCTCCCCTTTGCTGTGGAGCTTGGTGGTGGATGAACTACTAGATGAATTAACTCTAGCGGGAATACACTGCATTGGGTATGCAGATGACATAGTCATGATCGCTCGGGGGAAACATGAAGGCACCTTGTGTGATATTATCCAAAGAGGACTCCGTATCACTGAGAGATGGTGTAGGACTGTCGGGCTGAGTATCAACTCAGACAAAACCGCGATAGTGCCATTCACCAGAAGGCGAAGTCTGAAAAACTTGAAAAGAATCCAACTAGATGGAAAGGAAATACTGCCAACACAGGAAGTTAAATACCTGGGAATAACCCTGGACAGTAAACTCCTGTGGAACAGGCATATTAAGAACACTACCAGCAAAGCCATAAAGGCTCTCATGATATGCAGAAGACTGGCCGGAAATAGATGGGGCTGCTCCCCTAACATTTTGCGCTGGATGTATACCATGATAGTAAGACCCATGATTACTTATGGAGCAGTTGCCTGGTACACAAAACTGAGCAACGGACGGCAAGGCTAAACCTATGCAAAGTCCAGAGACTAGCATGTGTTTGCATCACAGGAGCCATGAGAACCTGTCCAACAGCAGCAATGGAGGTCATTCTAGATCTAATACCACTGCACATTGTCATTGGTAGATATGCCAATGCGACAATGATTAGAATGGTCACTAACGGAATTAGTACTGGGAGAATTGTCAGATCAGGGGCTTGGAACACCCTCAAAAAGGAAATACCACTCCTGCAACTCCCAGTGGACGATATGCCAAGAACGTACAACTTTGACAAACATGTCAATGTAGTATTGAGCAATAAGAAGGATTGGAAGAGCGAAACGCTTGCCCAGCAGTTAAAAGACCATACCATAACTTGGTATTCTGATGCTTCCAAAACCAATACGGGAACAGGGATCGGAGTGTTTGGGCCGAGAGCTAATTACTCCGAACCAATGGGCACTTACCCTAGTATCCAACAGGCAGAAATCTACGCTATCGAGAGATGCGTACAACTTATCTTAGATAGGAACTATCGGAAACAAGAAATAGCCATCTTGTCTGATAGTCAAGCAGCGTTAAAGGCGATCAACTCAGTATAAATCAATTCGAAATTGGTCAAAGAATGCATAGAGAAGCTGAATAAATTAGGCAAAGAAAACAAAGTCCTCCTACACTGGGTGCCTGCTCACCAAGGGATAGTAGGCAATGAAAAAGCAAATAATCTAGCTAGGAAAGGAGCGAACACTCCACTAACTGGACCAGAACCGTTCTGCTTTCCAAGTGGTAACCAACTCAAGGCGGAACTCAAGAACTTGGAAGATTCCATCCGCAACCTGGAATGGAAATCTTGCAATGGTCTAAGACACTCGAAGAAGTTTCTGAGGGCTTATGATCAACAAAAATCACAGATCTTCCTGGGTCTGAGTAAGAACAATCTTCGGATTGTCACGGGGTTTTTAACAGGACACTGTCTCCTCAATGAACACCTCAGTAGATTGAAACTAAGAAGAAACGGCGAATGCAGATTCTGTGGGAAGATGGTGAAACACCAGTACACCTCATCACTGAGTGCGCCGAGACGACAACCATTCGTGCCATGAACTTTGGTACGACTGATATTGGAGATGGAGAACTACCCTCTATAAAACCGTCCCAGATACTGGCTTTTGTCAAAGCCCTGGGACTGTATGATGAGTTATGATTCAAGAAAGGGGGACACAATGGATCTGTAAGGTCGAAGTGATTAACCCCCCTCCCTCTCATTCTAAATTCTAAAAAATTCTAAAAATCGATGAGTCCGATCAGTAATATAGGACTTGGACTAAAAATTGACATAAAAGTTACCCATTTAATGTTTTATTTAGAAAATAGTAAAAAGTTTCACTTCCAAATCTATTTATATTTAACAGATTTTACTAAATAGATTTGCGTTTAAATGATTAATGTGTCTGGAAGCTTTTCTTTTTTTTAGTTAAGTATTAAATTTAACATGTTTTTATTGACAAGAAGCTTGTTCTACTGTCTAATTAGTTTTTGATACCACGTTATTTCCCCATAAAAGTTATATTAAAGTCTTAAAAATGGGTTTACTTTTTTATAGTTTGATACCCTCTAACGGGCAAACGAAGCACTTTATATAGAGGTTTATTGTGTCCAATGAACAAATTTTGATCCCAAAAATACGTAGTTGTTCTATGTTCAGGGAATATTCTGTATAAAGTGTATGTCAAGATGTGCAATCAAGTCTACGTACAAATAACAAAAACATATGTATATATGTACTACTGTGTGATCTGTGGCGGTAATTTATTAGAGTGTCCCAATATAGAGTGTCCCAACTAAAATAATTCATTTTATATCTAGCTCGTTTTCCAAAAGCTCAAAATTTCAGAAGTAAATATTAAATGTATTTTCTGTTTTAACGAAGGAAGTAGCCCTTGATGAGACGCATATTATAGATATATTCCATAAAATCAATTAAACTTTTAGTTGCGTAATCGACAGCGCGATTTTTAAATTTATAGTTGCCAACCGTATTCGACGCCGGCGCCGGGCTGACTAACTGGAATTTAAATTTCCTGTTGGGGACTGAGGTGGTAGCTCTGCTGTACAAAAAGTCAAGTTGCCACTTGTCAATCATTTTGACACTTTAGTTTTGTATTATGAGTTTTTGGTTTAAAATAATTGTGTTGTGATACTTTAAGCTTAAAATTTTTTATTAGCAGACCTTGTAATCGAACATTGTTCTTTTTAGAACCTCTTTTACTGCGAAGTGTACAAGATAGCTTAATAGCTGTTGCAAAAAAGTCATCGCTTCTTTATTAGAATATTTTGAACGGGAAAGCAATAATAATGGCCCTTCATGTCCCTTAAGTGCTGTTAAGTAGGCGAGTTTTGTTGATGTAAATAACAACAACTGTTTATATATTTAAGCTAAAATTTATTAAATTATTTTTGTTAACTAAAATATTTTGATTAGAAGAAAATATGTAAAAGTGGGCAACGCTGTGCGGTTTAAGCTTAATGACGCGACCAGAAGTTTATTTGATATGAACTATACTTAGCATATTTCCATTTCATCTTATAATATAGTATAAAATCTAGTTTCACTATTGGTGATTTGTGATCTGTATAGAAAAGAACTCTTACCTTCATAGATGATCGGTTGCTTCTCCCTAAAATATGTAAGGGCTGGAAATTTGTTAATGCCATACTGTTTGGCCAGTCGTTTATCGTTAATTTTTACAAAATCTACCCCGAAGGAATCGGTATCATCGTCTATTTGTTCTAATTCTTCGAGAACTTTGTCGCATGTCGTACAACTCCTTGTATCTGAAAAAAATAACATATTTTATAATTTGTTTGATAAATTTACTTATTTGCTTAATTGGTAATATTTTCACACGATATTATACAGGGTGTCCCAGGCTGAACGTGCATTAGAAGTTTCTAGAGAACTACAATATCTAGATCGGATGTTTTTCGCTCATCATTGTTTCACAATGAGATCTATCGATTAAAAATATTAATATGGCGGCACTTCCGGAAATACCGAAAGTTGACAGCAATTTCCGTATTTTAAATGGATACCGTTATTTTTTATTACATATTTAAATTCTGTGTAAAATTTTATGAATTTTGATATGAAACACTCTATATCTAACATTAACCGTTTTCGAGAAAAAAAATATTTAAAATTTTTGGAGGAAAAAACTATCCTAAACGTCACATTTAGAGATTACTACAGCCACTCGGATATAAAGAGAAGACATGTGGCTATCTATTTCAAAAAATTAAATTGTTTCAATGTCATATAATATTGGTCGTAGCTGTCATGGAACTCAGAGATTAAAACATTATCATAATTCATTTTTTTCAAATGGAAACTCACTTATTTTATTTCACTAGTGAAAAGGTTTTTCAATTCATAACTTTTTGATTATACATGTTCCTATACCTAAAATAAATCGTTTTTAAGTTATTTAAAAAAAAATCAGAAGTAAACTTCCGGTATTTCCGGAAAGTGCCGCCATATTGAAAATATTTTTAATCGATAGATCTCATTGTGAAACAATGATGTGCAAAAAATCTCCGATCTAGATATTGTAGTTCTCTAGAAACTTCTAATGCACGCTCATCCCGGGGCACCCTGTATAAACATAGTAGTATAGTATATAAAAAATATTGAAAAACTTTTGAGCGTTGCTTGTTTAGTTTCCGGAAATTTATTTACAGTGCTTTGAGAGAATGCAATGTTGCCACTATGTCACTTCCTACGTTATCAACATTCTGCGGCGTAATAACTCAAGATCTAAATATTCCGAGATCGACATTCCAGCCAGACGCCTAAGGTCTGTTCCCAGAAGAATCCCTGACTAGTCAGCACGTTTCTCATTGGTTAAAATGCGTAGAAACCTGATTGTTTGTCAGGTTTCTACGCATTTCATCCAATAAGAAACGCGCTGACTAGTTAGAGATTCTTCTAGGAACAGACCTCTAGTCTCCTGTCACTGATGAATCCAAAATGATACTGAACACTGAACAAATACTGAATAAATCAAATATTTTTCATCTTCTTTCCGAATTTCTGGAATCAGCGCTCTCTATTAGATATGTAAATAATCAACGTTTAGCTACATTTAAACAGATCAGCTGATCTATTTAGCTGATGAATTTTATGTTATCCAATTTATTTGAGATTTTACTAAAATCAGTAAACCTTTGACAAAACAAAAAAAAAATAGGCAAATTTAAGATAAGCCTGTAATTTTTTTTTTGCAAAAAAAATCATAGGCATGTTTCTGGGGTCGAAATATAGTACAAACGTGGCATTGAAATTGCCAAAACCTCTAAACCACAAAATGTCGAACCTTAAAATAAAACTACCCCAGGCGAGAAGAACGCACGATTCAGAATCTCGCACCAGTTAAAATATCTGCACTTATTTCTGAGACACCCTGTATTAGTCCATTCAAGAAATATTATAGGTGAGTTATTGTTTTATTGTGAAATTTGTAAAAAAACTGGTAGAAATGGCGTAACAAATGACTTGTTTTGTGTTTTATAATAATTGACCACAGTGTTACGTAGCTAGTACAAAAAAATAAATTCTACAACAACCTCAAAATATAATATGTCATAATTTATTCATCTTTTGGTGGGTTTTATTGCAAACTGTTTATCAAAAATTGGCTGACGTATTATTTTGAAAACAACATTTTAAAATTTCAAATACCCACAACAAACATGCCATTTTCCAGTAATTTTTGAATAAAAGTATATCATGAAAACTTAATTATCATTAAACCTAAATAGGTATAATGAATAATAGGCTCATTTTCCTTAAAATCGTCTACTCTATATAGCGTTTTTATAAATTGTAAAATATAATGTGGTGTGACGATTTGGAATTTAGCTGGAAAATTAATGGTAATAAAGTGTAAAATAATAGTTGAATAAATAATGATATAGAGTATATATGATAAGAATAATAAATAGTTGTCATTGCTAATTTTCTAATATCATAGTCCCACCTCAACTCTGAAATCATTGATTAACGATGGTAAAATTATCATCAGAAAGTGGAAAAATAAAAAAATACAATACACAATTTGGTTGCTGAAAAATTGACTGTTTTTTTTTCGAATAAATGATTGAATTGATACGGAAGTTTTATATATATACATATACTAGCGTGTACCAGCGACTTCGTTCGCGTTGAATTAATCATTTGTAATGGTGATGATAAAGCAAAGCAAGAATTTCCATTAACATACAAACTGGATAACATTTTCACACATTTATGTCAGCATGAGAAAAAACAATATGGCGATATTATTATATAACTTGGTAATATTTGAGGGGTAGTTTCATCTCGTTGGAATTTGACTTTCGAAAAATCCGTTTGCCAAAAATAAGCTTTTTACGTCAAGCAGTTTAAGCAGAATCGTGGTTAAGAAATTACCTAACTTTTTGGAACACCCTGTATGATTTTTTTAAAATTTCAAAATATGTAAAAAAAACAAATAAATTATGCTTGTCCAAGCGTTTTCCCGAAAGACAACCGTTTTTAAATAACAAATATTGTAATATTTGAGGGGCATTTTCACCCTCTTGGAATTTGAGATTCGAGAAACCCGTCCTTATCGAACCTCTACACCCCACAGTCAATCCGTTTGCCAAAAATCAGCTTTAAACGTCAAGCAGTTTAAGCAGAATCGTGATTACTCAATGGTCATATTTTATGAAACACCCTGTATAAATTTATAAAAAATCTTAAAATATGTAAAACAACAAAATAAAATATATGTGTTTAAGAGTTTTTCCGAAAAACTCACCGGTTTTTAAATAAAAAATATTTTAATATTTGAGGGATAGTTTCACCACCTTAGAATTCGAGTTTCGAAAAATCCCTTCTTATCGAACCTCTACACCCTAAAGTCAATATGTTTTCCAAAAATCAGCTTTTTACGTCAAGCGCTTTAAGCAGGATCGTGATTAATCAATGACCAGATTTTTCGAAACACCCTGTATACATTTTTAAAAAATCTTAAAATATGTAAAAAAACAAAATAAAATATACGTGTTTAAGCGTTTTTTCGGAAACTTGACCGTTTTTTAAATAAAAAATATTGTAATATTTGCGGGGTGGTTTTACCCTCTTGGAACTGGAATTTCGAAAAATCCCTTCTTATCGAACCTCTACACCCTAGAATCAACCTGTATGCCAAAATTGAGCTTCTTACGTTGAGTGGTTTGAGCAGGATCGTGATTAATCAGTATGTCAGTCACTTAAGGATTTTATACTATATTAGTATAGATTGACGGTTATAACACAATACCTTTTGGAAAAGCTTCGGTTCTTGTAGAATATTAGTTGAAAAACTAGATCGGGGCTTCAAAAATACAATGGAATAAATCATCATGACTAAAGTTTAGAAATTTGTTCAGATCTAAATGTTTGCCAGAATGCGTGGGCTATTCTACATTATCCGCGAATTTTTTGGATATATACCAAATTTTTCAAGATAAAATGAAATAATAGTTTTTGTCTATATAGTAATATTGAATTAAAAATGGTCAGACTTATGAGGTTTTGTATTAATGAAAATGAAAAAATACATTATAGTATAGGAAAATATCAATCATATTCAAATATAGAATGCCACTTTATCTAAAGTAATTTGGACATTTAAAACGGACATTATAAGGAAGCTGCAGGTGGCACAACGCTCAATGGAACGAAATATGCTGGGAATAACCAAGAGAGACCGTAGAAGAATAGAGTGGACACGACAAAAGAACCCAGGTAATAGATGTCATCCACAGAATCAAATCTCTCAAGTGGCAATGGGCAGGACACCTGGCAAGAAGGACGGACAACAGATGGACCTCAAAAATTACAGCATGGTACGTACCCACGAGGAATTAAGAGACCTAGAAGAAGACCGAACCTGAGATGGGACCATAATATTACGAATTATCAGGGATAACTTGGGCCCGCATAGCCGTCAATAGATAAAAATGGGCCCAACTACAAAGAGAATATTTAAATATGTGAGGGAGCTATACCAAAATTGGAATTGGTTGAATAAGCTGAAAATGATGATAGGAAAAATATTGGTTTTCAATAAATATTAGTGTTCAGTGCAGAGTTGTCAAAATTTACTCAGACACAAATATAATTATAATTCCTTGTAAATTAATAAAAACACAAGAAGTTATGTATTTAATAGTGATTTAGACATCAAATGCCTATGTTAATACAGTACAATCGCGATAATATGAACACAAACATTTTTAGGTTGTTCATACTAACGGTATGTTCATATTATTGAAGGTAGTAAAAATACATAATAAAATACGGATTAATATTTTAAAAATCGTTTAATCGTACATCAAAATCAAGTGCTTAATATCTATGTACATTACATGAAACTAATTATTAGTTCTAAAATATGAAGTTATTTTTGATTGACTTTGTTTGGCCGAAATGTTAGCTAAAACTGCTTTTTCAAGAATGTTTTTTAGAGTTGTAATATCCGATAAATTTATTACGTTTTGTTTAGCCAATTTTAATGATACTATAAGGGCCTAGACTGCTTCGCTATGTTTAATTGTAATTATTGGCTGTTCCTCGATTTCAATGTCACTCTCATTTGAATCCATATTTTCAGCTTCTTCTAGGCTCGCTTCTTCTATCACTGATTCCTTGTTCCATTCTTCAATGTCTACAGCCCGTGTATTCCGCCTGTTAAAACGTTTAAAAATTACTACATAATATGTATTAATTTATACTATAGTTAATGACCTAGCGCTTACTTTAGATAAAA